AAGAAGTGGGCTGTAGTCCACGAAAGCTTATGCTCTAATAAATTTTATTCTCTAAGGTGCCACAAGTACTCCTGTTCTTCTTTTTATGAATTTGAGAATCTCAACAAATATTTTACCTTGAACATAATTCCTTCACTTTAGTTAATTATGGAGCATAATTTGAGCTTTTTTAGATAGTGTTAGAGAGAATGTGAAGGTTATACTGCACACCCTTGGTCACCCAAGGAAATTATAAAAGTAGGAATGTTTTTTCATAAGTTTTTAAAAGATGAGGAAGTTGCATGGAGAAAATTTTTATTATTCTCGTTTGGTCATATTCTAAACAATTAAAACTTGCTATTTAAAATAAATTTTCTGGGTTTTTTTTTTAAAGGCTGGTGATCATCACTTCATGTGCAGAGAAATGAGTGCCTTAATTTAGGCTTTTTAAAAGTCAAATATGTACTACTAACACTAATTTTCCATTCATTGTGATATTTAAATATTAATAACATCACCCTTTTTTATAAATTGTGAATAAACAATGATCCCACAGCACTTAAAACCTTTTCTGTGCTGTGTTATCAGTTGTTTAGAATATACCATATTTGCCCCAGTTCTTCAAATGGTAAAGTGTAATTTTTATAATTTATTAAATGTGATGTACAGTAGTAGTGCTTTGTCTGATTCAGATAGTTGCATGAAATGTATTCAAGTTGCATCAGCAAATAAGAGTCAATTTTTTATATTTACAAGAACTAAGGAGGTATTTGTCTTTGTGCACTTGGCAAATGGGATTTTTAAAAGAATGTTGCCTAGAAAACAAATAATCATCATTACTATGTGTACATTGTATATATTATAACTAAACTGCATTGAAGCTTCTGTTTAAGCCCCAAAGCTTCTACTCTTGCCATAGGAACAATGAGAAATGGGAGATAGTATAAAGATCTTAAAAGCAAACTGAAATGCTACTACTGAACACCTTGTTTTCTTTACAGATTAACGCAAATGGAGTCTATGGCATTAAACTTGAAACACAGTTAAACAATGACCCTTTTGAAGATCTGTCATTTAATCTGCTTGCTGCATCAAAGGTTCAGACATCTGTTCGAATATCACCTGTTCCAACTTTAAACCAAAAGGAGTTGACTTGGTTGCCTTCTGCAACACAAAGCAATGTTAACACTTTGGATACTGTAAATTGCATGCCAGCAATGCCTCCTAATCCAGCCTATAGCAAATCCCAGGAACATGTACGCAGCTCTCCAAATTCATTGGCTACCAGACTGAACAGCACAAATCCTTTCACTGAAAGAACTGTTAATGCTGGAAACCCATTTAGAACTGAAACCCAAGAACCTGAAGTAACTTCACAGCTTTTAGAAGGACCTGCTGCTTATAACCCTTTCCCCTCTCTAAATCCTCCAAATCCTAGTAAAGGCAAGCCTATGTTCTCTATCAGTGCTTTTGAAGACAAGTTTTGTTTGCAAAGTAAATCTTCAATAGTGAAAAATGCAAAACCAAAAGGATGGGTAACATTTGAGGAAGAGGAGGATTCCAGTGTAAAACTAAAGACGTCCTCTGAATGTGTTACAGAATTCAAGAGAGTCAGTTCCAGGAAACCTACTGGTTTTCCAGATTTAGTGGGCATTGAACCAAATATATTTCCTGGCTCAAACTTTACCTTTGATAATGACTGGAATTCTGCTGATTCCTTCTATACGCTGCCAGCAAGAAGACCACCTGCACCTCCTGTACCATCAAGAATAACCCAGACCATATCCCCTGCAGATCCTTTTGCTTTGTTGGCACCTAAAGTGTCACCAACACAAGATTTTACAGAAAGATAGATATTCTAAAATACAAGAGATTTTAAGTTTGTTGCTAGGTGTATCCAAAAGAATAATTGGGCATTGAATTTATTCCATGTGCAATATTCATTGTCTAATGCACTGAACCTTAACTCTATTCATAGCAACCACTGTTTGTGTACAAATTTTGAATATGTATATATGGTAGTGCACAAAAGAATTGTCCACAATTACTATAAATTTAGATGTAATCATATTGAAAGGATTAGTTAATCCTAATAGAATGTATAACACTCTTGGAAATTAGTTTTTGTTTATGAAGCAGTTTCCTTTCTCTTTCTCAGAGGAATTTCAAAATGCTCAAGAGACTTCCAGATGTTAGACCCTTCCAATCCCTTTTTACAGTTTGGTAACTGATATTTATAAATATTTACCAAAGACCAGCCAAAGTTTAATCAAAATATTGAATGTGGACAGGTACTATTTAGAAAGTAATTTATAACAGAGGTTATGGAGATTAATAAGGCTTAATTATATTTAAATTTGAGGCACAAATTAAAATAGTTACTTTCAAAATACAAACAAGACCTCATGTACTAATATAGTAAATTAAATTTATTGACTTTTGTGTCTAGTAATTTCCACCATTTATTGATTAAACTTAGAATAGCTATTTAGTATTCAATTTCATTCATTTATTCATCACTCTCTTAAAGGCTTTTTTTTCCAGAAATTGGAAACTACTGATATTACAAAAGTCTTTCTCTTCACCCTTAAAAAATAAATCCCATTTTTCATCTTTTGCTTTGATTTTTAAAAACCGGCTCCCTCAATGGAGAGCAATGTATTTCAATTAGTTTATCTCCTGCTATCTCATTTTTGTGTCCCAGTCATTCCAGAAGAGTTTCTTGTCCTCTGTAAAGATCTGGGTGAGGAAATAAGCAATTATGCTGTGACTTCAGGAGTGTGTTCTCGGCACCATTGTGCCCAGTTTTGTCCCTCTCTACTAAGTGCTATATTTTCAAAACCTTGCCTTCAGCAGAGAAAGCAGGAGAGCAGCAACCCTCTGAGCTGAACGGTATTGTTCTATCAGCATTCTTCCCTCCCCCAGAGATTGTAAACGCCACATTTGTTGTGCTCCTTTGAAGTCAGTGGAGGTTGCATCTTTTCACATAGGATACTGTAAACATGCAACTGGTCCTGTTTCTATGGTTTTCTGGAGTTCACGGTATTTACATAAAATGTGGTATTTTGGTATCTTGAAGGAATTTAAAATAACACAGATTTCTTTAGCAACACTTATGTATGCTAAAGAAATGGTAATGTTCCTTACCATTCACAGTATCTTTTATAACATGACTTTTATATAAAAAAAGTTGTGTACATTCATCAAAAATGGAATACATCAAAATTTTATTATGAGATGTATTGGGGGTGAGCCACCATACACACCTGCACTTACTGGCTTATTAGCAAACAAATTATGCTATTTCTGCACCCTTTGTAAGTGAATCATAGTTTACTAGCATTACATTTATAGCAGCAAAAGAATATGACAATAGTACTTCTAAATTCTCTAATACTATCAAAATACTCCATTCAGAAATAATCCATTCTTCCTTTAACAGTATAATTAGGAGATGCTGTTGGATAGAAGTTACAGTAGTGAGTTTTATATTGTGCTTTTCTTCTGTTCAGGTCATTAAAAAGTTCTTGTAAATTTTAAACACAGTACCTGTGATAAACTTTGTGCTTCAATATGTGAATTAACTAGTTTAAACTGTGGCTATTAACATCTATGTGATTGGTGGTTTTGGTATACAGTCTTACATTAGCAAAACAATTTTGTTTTGGAAACTTTGCTTGTGCAAATTGCAGTTTTGTGATGAATATGTTCCTTGATGAATATTTAATTACAGTGCTTACAAACTGCTGTCTAAAATGTATTTAATATGCAGCACCTCAACACTTGTATGGGATTAAGGAGTTTGACAAAATACTGCACAAAAAGATGCTAAAATATATAGTACAAATAGCTAACCACTGTATTGTGTATTACTGGAAATAATTACTACCAAAAGTACTAAAATACTGAGAAGTAAAATTAGAAATGCTAAACGTATTTTCATGAATTGTGTTCCCTGTAGTAAATTGCTCTGGTAATGTGTTACAATTTTACTGCTTGTGGCACACAATATTTGACTGTATACTTTACAAAACTGCAGTATTAAAACTCGGTGGCATACAACATTCCGTATCTATCCTGTGAAATACAGTGATGTATTATTGAAGTAAATACACCTGTCTTTAAGAAGTTTAGTTATCTTGATTCTCTTTTATTTTAGGTACTTACATGGCCCCTATTATCACGATATGTGAGTGCCTCATGATCTGTAATGCATTTATTCTCACAATATCCCTGTGAGGTACTGTTATCTCCATTTCACAATTGGAGAACAGAGGCACAGAGAGTAAGTAACTGGACCAAGATCACAGGCAAAGCAGAGAGTTGGATCTCAGCCCAGGTCTACACTGACTTATAACTACGTTGCTCAGAGGTGTGAAAATTCCACACCCCTGAGTGTCGTAGTTATCTCAACCTAACCCTCTGTGTAGACAGCAGTATGTTGACAAGAGAGCTTCTCCTGTCGACATAACTACCATCTCTCAGGAAGGTGGATTAACTACCCCAGTGGGAGAAGCTCTCCCATTGGCGTAGTAGCATCTCACTAAAGCACTATTGTGGCGCAGCTGTGCTGTGGTAGCGCTGTACATTAAGACCAGTCTCCGAAGTCCCAGGTTAAAACCCTAACCACAGGACTGTCCTTCCTCTCCTAAATTAAAGGATAATGTCGACCACAAATAGAGACCCACACAGCGATCCCTCCTGTTGCTGCTTTTTAGCTGGGCCAGAGGACAAGCAGCTTCCATTGCTGCTGTTGCCTCTACTTCTGAATGAGGAGGAACAGCCACTGCCCTCACTAAACGACCCCTTCACCACCAAATCATTCTTCCATTCTCTCACATTTCCGATTCAGCTTGAATTGATAACTTTAAAATCTACTTTTCTGAATTAGTAGGGTCCTTTTAAAACATATGGTAACTTAATAGATCTGGAAGTATAAAATAAGTGCCCAAATTTGCAATGATTTTGGATCAGATAGGCACCCTCTCTCAGGTTTTCTAAATTATGTTAGAGGTGCAGCTATTTTAGTGTGGAGTGCATTAGAAGTAGATATTTTTCCCACCAGGATCCGCTGTCTATTCACAGTGAATGGGCATTGATCCCTGTCATAGCTAGATTGAGACTGGCTGCTGTGCAATCACTTTGGATGGCTGCAGCCATGACTGGTGTGTTGAGGGCACTAGGAGATGTGCTATTTCTTTAGAGTTATATTCCTTTCTATGTTTTGAGGCAACTCCCCATCCCTGCCCACTATAGGCAGGGTAACTCTCACCTTATAATACGTGCATGCAAAAAGAGAAACCCCTGAAATTACCCTCTTGACTATTACCACTACCATGCTGTCTGGGCTTCCTTCTGCCATTTTAAAAAAGTATTGACATCTTTTATTAAACATCAAGAAAAAATGATATCGCAAAAGGCTTTATATTCACACTTGTCTTATACTAGTAGAAGTACTACTGTAGCCAGGACTCTAGTGTTTCTTCACCACTGTGTCATCACATGCTGCACAGAGAAATAAAAATGTCAGTGGTCTAGTCTACACCAGTCATTCCACTATTGGTAGTGCTGCTATTAAACTAGCAGGGGCCAAAGAGCTGACAATTCCCAGGGTAGTAGATGCAGCCAAAGGCTCTGTCAACTCCACTGCTGCTTCAGCCCTGGCTGTGGTCCCTGGGCCTTTAAGCTAAACACCTGCTATCCCAAGCCCCATGATAAAATCCTGAGAGTTGGTAACATAGCCAAGGTTAGCAACAGAGGCAACTTCTAGACAAGGTGTCTGTTCTAGCCTGGGCTGATGGGACCCCTGTCCTGTTGGGGCAGTTTGTGGCTGGGGTGCTTGGGGCATCACACCCCTCAAAGTATGCAAGAGCATACACATTTATTATATATATATATATATATACATACACACACACACACTAAATACCAATTGTGAACACACTAACTCCATATGGATTTGCTGTGCTGCTTGTGGGTGGTATTTAGCAGTAGGGTGGTGCCTCCTCCACTGCCCCTGTAACACTTGCCAGGCTGTGGCTTGAGCAGTGGCCGTGAACACAACACTCCAAACCCCACTGACAATCATCATGGCTTGGCTACCTCTTAGGTAGATGTGCACAGGTGCCACAGGGTGGTGGTTCTGAACCAGAGGTGTGTACCCTTGGGGGTGTGCAGAGGTCTGCCAGGGGTACAGCAACTGATTTAAATACAGTATTTGCCTCGTTTTACAACAGGCTAGATGCAGTGGTTCTCGAACGTTTGTAGTGGTGACCCCTTTCACACAGCAAGCCTGTGAGTGCAACCCCCTTTCTAAATTAAAAAACTTTTTAATATTTAACACTATTATAAATGCTGGAGGTGAATTGAGGGTTGGGGGTTGAGACTGACCCCCAGTTGGGGAACCCCTAGGCTACAGGAATAGACTCAATGTGGAAAAAAACCTTTAATTGTTGCTCTTGCTTCACTGCCTCCCGGAACGACCGGGCTCAGAAATGAAAAACAAGCTCAAGTATCACACTGAAATGGAAGTATATTTTTTATTCCAATTGATGTATTTTATAATTATATGGTAAAACTGAAAAAGTAAGCAGTTTTTCAGTAACGGGGGCCTGTGCCACTTTTGGGTGTTTGATTTTTGTAAGCAAGTAGTTAAGTGCGGTGAAAGGTGGGGGTACGGAAGACAAATCAGGCTCTGAAAGGGGCACAGTAGGGAGGGTGCACGAGCACTGCTACTACATGCGAAGCCGTGTCGGGCGCGGGGAGAGCGGGCGGGCGCTGTGCAGCTCAGTGCTGCAATAAAGGCAAGGCAGTGGCTGGAAGCGGCTGCTAGGTTTGGGGTATATCGCAGGTCCGGGCACGGGGCGGGACTTTAGGGCAGCGTCCCTGCGTGCTCTGGGATAACGGATGTTCCCTGGAGGGAGGGGTAGCTGGGTTTGGGGCTGGGGAGCCCCGAGGGCAGGAGCATGTGGGGAGGGGCTGCAGGGCCCGGGGTGTCGGGGCAGAGGACACGGGGGACCTGGGCTGGGGGAGCAGATCCCCCCGCGTGGGGCTGGTGCAGCTGCTCGGCCCGTGGCTGCTGCAGCGGGAGGTCGCTGCCGACTTTTGCCTCCGCGCTCTGCCTGGCCGGGACTGGCCCTTTAAGAACCAGCTCTGCTCGGCCTCGCGACGCGGCGGTGAAAACGGGGCGGGCGCGCTCCCCTGGCGCATGCGCTGAGGTGCGGAGCCGGCCTGGCCCCACCATTCGCGGAGGCTCCCGAGGTGCGCCCCCCTCCTCCCTCGGGGTCAAAGCCCCGCCCCCGCCCCCTCCTCCTTCCCGGCGGTTGGTTTCTAGGGACGCGGCGGTTGCTGCTGCGGAGAGGCGGCTCCGGCCCTTCCGGGGAGCGGCGGATCGGACACGCGGCCGGCTCGTGCCGC